GGGAAAGAGACTGAACTGCTCTGAAGCAGAAGGTGGAGAGATCTTAATAACTAGGATGAGCTAGTGAAAAAGTACTAGAGGATACTGGTAGTAGAGAGGACCATTGGTCAATGGCCATCTGTGATGGTTAATTTGTACTCATCCAAGTTAGGCTCAGACTCTCACAAAAATATGAGTGCTATCCTTCCTGATTATTACATTTCAAAGAGATAGCCCCAGATACTTGAGAAAGATATTTATGAGTTGTAAAACTGGCCAAATGTGTGAGAAAATTTACTCGACCGCAGGGAAAAAATTTACAGTTACAAGTTTTCTGAAATAAATGCTCTAAGTAAAGAGAAGTCAGAAACTTATATTTAGGAAGAAAGTTCTCTAATTTCTAGTCAAGCTAGAAAAGGTGGCAAGGAAAGGTGGAGAGCCACTTGATTACTCTACTATCACTATAATTACGGCTCAGTTGATCTAAACTAGCTGTGTATTGAGGTGGTCCATTAGCTAAGTGTGTTAGTATCTGAGGACATGGAGACTGCACACCCCAGAAACAGAGAAACAGAGCCTCGTATTATGTGGGAAAGAGGTAACCTATTAGAGGCACACACCATTCTTTGAGAGGTGTGCAAATATCTTGCACTTTCATTTTCCATTACTTGTCCTTCCTCTGGAGGTCAGCAGTTATTTTTATCCTAATGTATGTACATCAAATGCCATATCTCTCTAGCTGTACAATGAGAAAAATGTTGTGCCCATTTAAAGAGTAATCACCTTGAAGGCCAGGGATGTCTTTTTTGTTGTGGTAGAAGAATTGGTTGAAGAAGGACTGCATTATTTACTTTATGTATTTTTTTATTGGATCTTCTTTTATTTATTTACTTATTTATTTAGAATTTGTTTTGTTTTGTTTTTAGCTCCCCCCCCCCATAGGGTGCATGCACTTGCAAGAGAGAGACAGAGAGAGAGAAAGTGAGAAATCCTCCCTCAGGGGCCACACTGCAATCCCTTAGCCATTATCCTCTTGGGATTTTGGGCATGTATGTAAACATGCCTGGCTTGATTTGATTTTCAAGCCAATGGGTTTAGGACTCAAACAATGGTTGGCTATGTGAGAGGCCAGCACTTTAACCCCCATGCCATCTGCTGACCCCCTTACTGGACCCTCTTAAAGGGAGGGGAGCAATATGTACTAATAGTTCTAAAATGAGAGAGAAGAAAAGCCTGGGCTTCATCAAGAGTAGCTATTTGAGTTCCAATTTTAGTAAAAAATTACTTTCTGTTTTAAAGGACCATGAGGGATAATGCTTGCACGTTGATTTTGATCCTTACACAGTTCGTTCTTCTAACTAGAGTGTTATTAAGTGGTCAGATAGATATAAGCATGAAGTCTCAAGACTGCCACAGCAAGGGCATCTGACACATCACTAATCCTTGTCAGAGGTTATAGCCAGACCCCTGGCACCAATGGTGGAAATGTTTCCTGACTTTTACTGCCTAAACTCTCATTAGAGGACCTGCAGGATTTAACTTTATTCTCCGCTGCAGCAATCATGTGCAAACAAGACCCTCCAGCCCTCTAACCAATACTTCACCTTCCTCTGGGGGCACCAGACCAGCATGGGCAAAGTCATCCCTCGGCACATGCTCATTCCTTCAGAGTCTACGCTGGCCGTGTGTACAACCTCCCCCTCCTGGGTGCTTCAGTTCCCCTTACCAAGCAAGAAGTGTGTTAGTGCCACAGAAGCCCACCAAAATGAAAAGCAGAGGTGGCTGCAGTGACAGGCTTCCCCTCCTAAATAAATATCCATGGCAAGACCCCATGATAAAAGAAAAACCTAACCCTATTCCCAGTGCTGCCTGGTGACTTTTCCTGCTTGGACTTCTCTCAAGGGTACTGACTAAAATCTCTCTTTCATACTTTTCTCATGGCTGTGGCTTTATTTGTGTCTCAGGACAAGTCTCTAATCTGGGCGATCTGGGCCCTAGACAGAGCATCCCATCACAGTGCTTCCCCCTTGGTAATGAGAGTAGCAACTTTGCCACAGTCTAGTAATCTTCAAATATTCTTCTCTTTCAGACTGTGACAAAGACATGCTGATCAACATTCTAACTCAACGCTGCAATGCACAAAGGCTGATGATTGCAGAGGCATACCAGAGCATGTATGGCCGGGTAAGGTCTCTTTATCTGGACCTACTTCTAGGACAAACTCCTGAGAGCTAATGACACTTTCATAGAAAAGGTACAATAATGTTTTTTTCAGTTTCACAGATCACAAAGATCTCAAACCTCACCATAGGTCAGAAGAGTTCCCATTTCTCTTACATGTTTTAAGGAATAAAAAACACATCACGTCAGGTATATGTGTATGAGGAGGAATGTTCGCATTCACATTGACTACCAGTCTTTCCCCCCAAATGATTCAGTAGCCCCAAATTAAAAGTTTTGAAAACCCAGGGCTGCCTGGTGGGTCCAATTAGGCTAAAAGCATTACATTAAAAACACTCCTTGCACGAGCTTTAGGAAAAACCTAGAAAGGCCTAATGATGATCATCAGGTCAAAAAAATAACATCTTTTCCTACAGTCACCACAGGTCCTCACCTAACTCTCAACTAAAGTGAATTCTCTACCAGCTTTTCTTCTCAACAGCATGCAGTTATAGAGACCATTAAAAAAAGAATGGCAGTTTAAAAATAGTTTAAGGCAATAAAACCATTCATAGTGTTTTAAAGTAATCGCATTCTAATTTCAAAGTAAGTACCATTAAAAATTCCATGCTTTTGTTATGCATTTAAACCACAGATTCAGAACAAAAACTCTTCAGGCCAGAAGGGCCTGAAATGGCAATTACTTTGTCAACTGAGCATTATCCATGAAATGCTATCATAAAACTTTCTTTGTAGCTTAGTCCATCGACATTTACTCCATCTTTAAACTTCAGTCTTTGAAAAACTATAATAGATGAAATAAAAGCTAGCCTTCTGTTTCAGAATGAGTTAATAATCCAGAAAACCACTACTTCTAGTGACATTAATTGAATTAAAGACAAGAAAAGGAGGCCAGCTATACCTTATTTCCACATAAAACTGTTACCTTACTTATGTTCCCAGGACACCAGTGCTAATTTTCTTTTGAAAAACCTGTACCTGACCCAAACTGTGTTCCCCCAACTGTGCACCGTAAGCTAGACTGTTGACACTAGGGTTGTGGTGAAGGAAAGTATAGCTTGATTGCCATGCACAGAGCAAGGAGAGCAGGGAGCTCATACTAAAAGAATCTGGTCTCCCCAAGGGGTTGCAAGCATTTATTTATTTATTTATTTATTTTTGAGAGGTTTTTGCTATAGGGTGTGTGAGCTCACTAGAAAGACAGAGACAGAAAGACAGAAAGCAAGAAATCACCTCCCAAGGAGGATGGCCACACCACAATCCCTTCTCCTCTCAGGATCTTGAGCATGCATGCACATGCACCCAGCATGAGTTTAAGCCACCAGGTCTGAGACTAGCACCACGGTCGGCTACATGAGAGTCCAGCAACATAGCCATTACGCCAACTGCTGGCCCCACAAGCATTTATTTTTCAAAGGCAAAATGAAGGTTAGGGTCTCAGGCACATGATCAGCTTGATGGCCTGAAAGGACATGATAATCTTGTTTGTTTGTTTGTTTTTATTTGAAGACAATTTTCTTCTATGGTTCTAGTTATAAACAAAACGAATGCTGTTATAGTGAGTGCTTCATAGGCATTGTTATATCTCATGGGCTTTGGATTGATGGGGCATTAGGTGATCAATTTATTTTACTGGAGGGGGCAGTCATTTGGACTCTGGCACCATTCAGTCTGGGGCCTGTGCTTGCTCTCGGTTAGGGGGTGTGTGAGCACTAAGGATCAAGACCTTTTAAAGGATCCCTGCTCAGTTTAATGAGAATTTTATCAGTAAAACTCTGAAAGTTCTATCACTAGTAATTCAATATTGTTTAATATCCATAGTGCTTTAAGGGATGTCATTTTTCAAAAACATTTTGTTTTATGTGAAGGTATACTGATACCTTTGCTTTTTATATATCTGATTAGTTTGGGCTAAAGAATTGTTTTAGCAGCCTCTACAAAATTATACTAAAGAAGATTAAAAGAAGTAAGGAATGATGTACTTAACATTCAAGGAATTTAAAATCCATTGAAGAATTTATACTCTAATAAAGCTATTATGTTTTCACTATATCTATAGTCTCAGAGTGTTAAACCTTCACTTTTGATGAATAATGCATACCTTCTGGAGAGTGTGGCTGATACACTGAATTACACAGACTGGGAGGCAGGAATTCATGGCTTCCCCCTTTCCTCCGAAGTATTCTTGTCAAAGATCAGTTCTCAAGTCCTGTCAATGATTTCTTCTCATAAAGGTCTCTCATTTCCCTAATTGATACAGTCTTGATTCAGACCTTCATCACTTTGTTTCATGCCCAGACCATTGCTGAAATTCCTAACCAGCCTCAGGACCCTCGGTCTCTCAGTCCCTCCCCACTCCAGTCCATCCTCCAGACTGAAGCCAGAATGTTTCAAAATCTAAATTTGCATATGTCACTTGACGTCCTTAAACCTCTCTCACAAACATTCATATGCCCATGAAATAAACCCTGGTGCCAGGGAATAAGAAGCGTTGCTTGCTTGATTTCTGCTCTCTATCTGATTTCTTCTCCCTCTTCCTCACGCACCTTCAACTGTAACCAAATGGTACTGTCTGTTGTTCTCCAGGTTAACTGGGCTGCTCCCTCCCTCGGCAATGGTATTTCCTCTTTGCCACCATTCTCAATCTCACATGCAGCGCATTTATCCTCCTGCTAGACATTAAACACCACATGTCACACCATACTCCCCAAATTGAGTGGAACAGACTCCTACTGGGAATGTATCCTTTGTGTAACTTCTTCACAGTGCCTAATGACAACTCCATGTGCTTACTATATCTGTTTCACCTTAGCCAGCCTAAGGACTTTTTGTTTTCATTGTCAAGGGTGCATGCATCATCAGAGAAACACAGAGAGGAAGAGAAAGCTCCCCTCAAAGGGGCATGATCATCCACAATCCCTTCATTCATTTCTCCGTCCTGTTTGGATTTGGAGCATGTGCGCACAGATGCCAGGAGTGTTTTTATAAGCTGCAGGGGCTGGGATTCAAACCATAGTTGGCCATGTAAGATCTGGCTCTCTTAACCAGTAGGCCTGAGTCTTGTTCAGTGACTAAATCTTGAAAGCTGGGATGATTCTTGTTCATTCTAGAATTTAGCACACATGTCTGGCTAACATAACAAGGTTACTTGATTAACATTTGTTGAATGACATTATGAAAGTACAACTAATTGCAACTCTTCCAACAAGATATAATGAGGCTTTGGCTGCTTATGAAAACCTTCCCAGACTGTCAAGCTCACTCCATTCTCTGTTCTGTGCTTCCTACTTGGTTCCCAGAGATCGCTGTACATTAACTACCACATACCACAGAGAGTAGTGTTGGTTTACTTTTTTTTTTCTTTTTACATCTAGTCACGGTGTATCATTACAGCCTACCAAAAGGATTTTCCCATCATGAATATACTGCGTATCAGTCCAGTCAAAGACATTGCCATAGACGCCATAATCAACAGATTCCTTTCCATTTTGGGTCCCTTAAATGTTTTGCTTCTTCCCCTGGATTCCCTTCCTCTTGCCCTCCCCTGTGTTGGTTTACTTTTACATCTTGTTTACTACTCTTTAACTCCTGGAGAAACAGTTATTTGCTGCTGTCCTTCTAGAGCTCAGTCCAGTGACACACAGAAGAGGCATTTCATTTATAAAATAAGTGAATGTAAGAAATTATATTCTGCCTATGTTATATATATATAAAATATATATATAAAATCCTTTATTATCTATTCTATAGTTAAAGCATATGCTCCCAAATTGCCTGGATTTGTCTTTTCCCTGGTTCTTTGCTCTGGCTGCTACAGATTCATTTGCCTGACCTTCAGTTAGGTCTTCTTGACCTCCCTCACTGCTCACTTTCAGAATTTTCCATTAGATCAAGTTGTTTTTACTTCTGTTTTCCCTTTCTGTGTTGCAAAGGTATAGATATGCCCTGTGTTAATCATTGGTATTTTATTTTTTATTAACATGTTCATCAAGAGTTTGCAGAATTGTTTTCCTAGTTGCTGAGTAAAGCACAATTCCAGGCATGCTCCATAGATACTGCTTAGTTGATACTTTACATTAGAGAAAAGCTGCTGGATTTCATCAACATTTTCCTTACCTATGGCAGAAACTAACCCAAGACTCAAATGAAAAACCATGTAGAATGCCATTAATTGATCTATTCATCAACATACTTAATGAAGTCACTACTGATCTCCCATACCAAAGCAAGTGCTAGTCTTTTGACAATACAGTAAAACCAAAGGAACAGGGAAATGCCTTTGAGAATGAGTAGAGGGACTATCCCTACATGAGATATTTGACAATCAGACAGTGACTCCTGAAGGAGTTCCAATTCAGCACAGAAACCATTTTTTCTCTCATTTTTAATCTAAAACTGAGATGATCAGCTCTGAAGTATGCTGATTCTTGTCACTCATCTAACCTGAGGTGGCGGTTTTGCAGTTTAGTACAGAAGCTGACTTGCCCCAAATTACAGAAAGGTAAAAGAACTTGAACCAAGGTTATCTGATTAAACTGCATCTTCCATAGCGTCTTAAATTTTATGCATGATTTTCAAATTTTTTGCTCATTTTTCTTCTAATGTCCAATTCCACATTTCTGGTTTCAATGTCGTTTCTCTAAAAAAAAACATTGAGTAGCAGCTTGCGCCTCTCGCTCCCAAGAATAATAAATGAATGTTAATTTCTTGCAGTCTTTTCCCAGGAATATTTTTCCTCATGGTTGGATAATAGTGTAGATGACTATAGAATCCTAGGCTAAATTCTAGTTATTTTTTCTGTACATCTTTGCAGTTATCATTTCATTTTTTCCTGACCTTTATGATGATGTGAAAAATTTCTCTTCACATCAGTTTTATTTTATAGTTTATCTGTTATTCTCTGATTGCTTTTAAGATATTTTTTCTTTAGCTTTGGTATTCTGCAGTTTTACTGTGGCAATCAACAGGTTTGTATATTTTTATCTAAAAAGATGTGGACACAC